CTGGGAGGTGGGATCACTGCTCAGAAATAGACTCAGCATCATTGGGTTTTTTCCTGCATGTGGTTAGCAATTGCATTTGTACATCACTTGTAGTATTTTTTTTTTATTTATTATTTCTCTTCCTTTGTTATTCTATTGAACTGTCTTTATCTCAACCCACAAGATTTTTTTTCTTTCTCCTCCCCATCCCACTGGGGAGGGAGGGGTGAGCAAGCAGCTGCATAATGCTTAGTTACCGGCTGGAGTTAAACCATGACAATTTCCAATCCTGTCTATTGGGAAAGCTGACATCAAAGTGGGCATGGATTAGGAACTATCACAAATTTTGCAATCATCATGAAAATAACTATGATTCTTTCTGTTGCACTTGGGTACTGAAACACGCATGAGATTTTTGAATGCTGCTATGAAATATTCTTAAAATTTCTTTTAATCAATTGCCTTCCAAATTTATGACCACTTCTTGGCTGCAGCAGTGAAAGGAAAGCAAAAATAGTAGTGGAAAAGTGGTTTGCCCAGTTCTCTGAAGACTTTTCCTCTTGCCTTCCCTGTGCAAAGAAATCCTTAGCTTCCTGTGAACAGCCTCATGTACCCAAGTTAAGAGATATGTCGTGTGTGACAAACATATCGATGAAGGTATTTGCTTTGACTAGTGTGCATGGCTAGCTTGCATTGTTGGAGTTACTGCTATAGGTTGCTTAGCATTAAGATTTCTTTTTAATGGTGCAGGACACTTAGAGTCTGATTGCAGGTTGGGAGGAGAGAATAATAAAGATATGGAGTTAAGCTCCTTTCTGCTTGCCTATCTTAGCTCTGTAGGCTACAGAATTTGCCCAACAATTTGATTTCTTAACATCTATGAAGGACTTACCTAATGATCTGATATATGGGCTACTTGAATTAATGATCCAGTAGAATTAAAACACTTGTATAGAGCCTGGAGTTTTGACTTCCTGTCAAAATGTTCTATGCTCTATTTGTTGTTAAGTGTGGCAATTAGATTATTAAATTAAAAAGATCAGGTGCTACTTTGTGTGCTCCCCTGCCAAGTTATACAATAGGAACATATATGACTTATAAAACCATGTAAGCGACTTACCTTTGAATGTTTCCGTTGTTTACTACTGCAGAGATCACAAGGATCATACAGTGCTCATTTTCCTCTTCTTATTCAGTTAGTCCTGAAACAGGAAATAATAATTTAAAAAAAATAAAAAATCTTTATCTGTTACCTAAACAGAGGTGGTAACCTGTACTAGGTTTATTCTGATGTTTAAGTACAACAGAGAGTGATATCAGGAATTAGATTAACTGCTTAGATAATACTGTTGCAGCATTTCTGGTACTGGGGAAATATTTAAAATTTTACTTCGTAGAAAAATTGTAATCGTGTTAGGCTTGCATGTATATTGTCCCTATTTTTCAGTGCTCTGTAAGGAAAGGGTTATCTTATTTTGTTGGAGGCCAAAACATTCAACTACCTCAAAGTTTTTCAATGTAATTTCAATTTTAATGTTAGCCACCTAGTCAGTATTGATCTGTTGAAAGAATCCAGACCCATAATATCTTTATCATGTGCTAGCATATACGGGTTTTCCTCAAAAGGAGAGGAAGAGTATACCTCAAAAGTGATCGTAGATTTGTGTAATGTAGGAAAGGAATTTCTAACACTTATGCATGTTTTTATTTCAAAAAGTAAGTATGTTTCTAAAAGACCTTTTTTAACTGTATAGGAGATTGAGGAAACAAGCTTGCAGACGTGCTTTCCAAAGAGATTAAAGTTCCTGAAGTTTTTATTTAAATATCTTTAATAGTGTAGATACAAACTAGAGAACTGTGATGCTTAGTTAAAAATGTTGTTGCCTGTGACCATTGTCTTAAAAATTAGTTTTAAGTAGCTTGCTTTGACTTATAGTTAGCAATGAATTTGGAAGCATCAGGATTTTATTCATGGTAGTGTTCCTGAGTTATGGCATTGTAGAAATAAATTTAATTGTGTGTGTACTTCCTCTTTGAAAACCTACTGTAAACATCAGTATTTGGAATATGTTAATGTTCTGCGGCAGCAGTTTATGTCTCTGAATATTAGTGGGTTTTATTTGGAAATCAAAGTTACAATATGAAAAATAACATTAGGGGATCACCTAGTTATAGAATATATTAAAAAATGCAAAATACCTGTATTATGTTGATAAATATCTATCTTCCATGGTTAAATAAATCTGAAAGGAAGTTTAGGCTAAGCATTCTTAAGTTCTGTTATATTTTGCAGGTGAAACAGTGAATGCTGGAGATGCATTGTGTGAAATTGAAACAGACAAAGCGGTGATTACCATGGAATCAAGTGATGATGGCATATTGGCTAAAATACTGGTAGGGATTCTGCCTTTCTGAGTAGGATGATACAACTTTTCTTCAGCCTGTTATTTAGCATAACATAGCATAGCAAAAACTTAGATAGCTAGATTTCCTTCTGCTCAGTTTTCAGAATAATGCACTTACTTGCATTCCTAGTGAAAAATAATTACTCTATTTCTTTCATACATGTACCAGACTACTGGTACATGGTACATGATTCTATATATGTTTAATGGATTTTCAGTTAAACTGATTGAATTATGATGTTTTGTATGTTTTACACCTTATGGATTATGTCCATGAAATATTACAGTTCATAACATCTCTTACTCTGAGTTATAAAAAACCAAGTTGTGGTCAGTTAGTTGGAATGTGGAATTTCGGATGATACTTTTTCCAGGATGTGTGATCTCCACACTAGATTATCTTATGCTGGCCATTGAAGATGGAACGTTACACAAGATGGGCTGACTCAGAAGACCATTCTTAGAACTATTAATTTCCTGTATTCATAAAATTAGATTGATCAGGGTTAATATAAAGAATGAGAACTGGGATGAAAGTGAAGTTCTCTGAACATCATTTTGGAGTATTTGTGTGTATGTGCATATATAACAGAGATAATGCTCAGTTTGTTTTGCTTCCTTGTTTATGTTTGGCTTTAAATCCTGTTCTGTACCAAGAATGAATCAGTAACAACAGGACTACAAAGATCAGGATGAAGGACTTAGTTCTAACCCTGCATTGCGTAAGGTCTGCTTGCAAGTCCTGTGCTATTCTTTGCATACTGGATTCTAAAAAGACAAGTCAAATTCTGTATCTTTCCCTTTCTCCTCTTGTCTTTCTGACTTTTTTAAAAAACATTTCTTATTTCAAAATGACCTGATGTTAATTCTCATCAGAATTTAGAAGGTTGGGGCTGTAATTTGGAGGCCTTCTATTGCTGTTTCTGCGTCAAAGTAAATACTGCATTTTCTGAAAGCTCATATTTTATGCTTAAAAATTAAGGGAGACTATATTTTTCTTGTCCATTAAATATGTATAATGGGAAATGCATTTTAGAATTTCTTGTCTTTAGGGAGGGAAATGAAAGTTGTTATTAATTGTGTATAAAGACAGCGAAAGGATTTTCCCTCCCTTTCAATATTCACCACTTTTTCTAAAATTTTCCCTAAACAGTATCCAAATCTGTGGAGTTCTCTTATTTATCCTGTGAAGGCTTAAACTGTCAGCTAGCCTCTCACACAAGAATACTGATACCTTTTCTTTTTTCCTTTTAGAAACTGGGTAGATAAATGTGGTATACTTAAATATGATTTTGCAATGAATTTGCAGTTTGGTTAAGATAAAACAACTTGCTCAATTACAATTGTAGAAAATCTAGTTGGGCAATTATGCAGCTAAACAGGGAAACAAAGTTCTGCAGCATAATATTTCTCAGGTTTAATGCATATACTGATATATAAAGAACTTCTTACCACAGTTAAACATCTTACCTATGAGCTAGTGTCTCCAAGAAAAGTTATGAAATACTTTGTAATGTTCAATCCATAGGATACTGAAGAAATCTACTTGAATCACTGTGCAACTTCATAGCTTTTTTTTGGTGGTAGACATGTTAAAATGGATATTAGTACTGTTACTTTGTCTTAACTCTAAGAGTGTTTGACTGACACTTTAGCTGTCTTGGTACAGCTGTATGTTAGGTTTGGTTGTTCCAGGACTAATAATTTAGCTTGTATTCTTTCTGTCAAAGGATCCTTTGTGTCTTGAAGCATTGCTTAATAGCTCAGGTTTCCAGCATTGTAGTATTTGCCTTTCTCTAATTCCTTACCCTTGCATAACACTCAGTTGCTTGGCCAACCAATTGCATCTACAAAGTGCTGTTGAACCAGGTGTGAAATGAACACCATGGAGCAGGCATGGATATTTGCCTTTACATAGGCGCAGCCCAGCATGATTGTGTGCAGAGGGGATACATGAATATGCAGCTGTGTGGTGCCATGCTTTTACCACCATACTTTTATAGTGAATGTGTTGGGCTTTGTATTTAAATACTGTTGCAGGTTTGTCGTGGTTTAACCTGTCAGGAAGCTAAAACAACCACATAGCTGTTCATTCATTCCCACCCACAGTGGGATGGGGGAGAGAATCAAAAAGAAAAAAAAAGGTAAAACTCACAGGTTGCAATAAAGACAGTTTAACAGGACAGAAAAGGAAGATGATGATGATGATGATAATAATAGAAAGAATATACAGAACAAGGGATGCAGAGCACAATTGCTCACCACCCGAAGCCGATACTCTGCTAGTTCCTGATCTGAGCAGCTTCCTGGCCAACCCCCTAGTTGTATACTGAGCGTGACATCATGTGGTATGGAATATCCCAATGGCCAGTTTGAGTCATCCGTCCTGGTTATGTCCCCTCCCAGCTTCTTGGGTAACCCTGCCTTCTCACTGGCAGGCCAGTATGAGAAGCTGAAAAGTCCTTGACTGCTTGGCGACAACTAAAATATTAGTGTGTGATCAACATTCTTCTCATCCTAAATCCAAAATATACCAGCTGCTAGGAAGAAAATTAATTCTATCTCAGCCAAAACCAGGACAAGCTTCAACTGCAAGTTTTCATACTTCAACTTGTACATCAGTTTTAACTCCTGCATTCAGGATACAAAGAGTATGCCATTAATGTTCGTATGAAAAGTCTGATTTTAAATGACTTGTCCCTGTATTTTTTGGGAATTTGGTAACAGAAGGAACTAAATTTCAGTTCTCCAGCATAAGATTTAGTTGTCTTTGATGATACTTCCCTTTTAGTTCTTTGCCTCATTCCTTATATATCTTTTATATCATAAAAAAATCCAAACACAAATGAAAGGCTGCAAAAAATAATGAAGCAGGAATATCCTAGAGACAAAACTCCATGTCTTTTCACACTCTTGATATAGCTTCATAGAAAATGGAATAAATATAAGTGAGCATGTTATTAAAGACTAAATTGTACATATGCAGAAATTGTGCTGATTGAACGTTTGCCTTTCAGCAATACGATAATGGTCTTTTGCTATTCCTGTGTGTGGAAATCAGTTGTAATATACTTTTTGTTGCAAACCACATTTTCCAAATTTTCGTGTTACTTGTAAGATACTCTGTGCCTCAGTTGAAAGAAAATAACACATGTAAATTATAGTCTGTGTTACCCTCACAAGAGTCCATCCTTGTGGCTTGCTTGGGAGGACTAAAATTTTGTTTCTTCATTTCTTATGCTTTTCTCTCCAAACTCTTCACTTTTTGAAATTTTCAGAACACTCTCATTTCTATGCTGGTGGAGTATTGCAGCTGTTTCTTCTCTCTGTCCACAATAATTAAATAATGGGGTGGATTGGAAGAATTTTGAATGAAATAAAAAATTATGAGAATTGTTTTGCCATATGTGTAATAGATTATGAAACCCTTTGTCAAAATGTTTGGTTCAAATTGGTGTGTTGGGAGAGAAGAGAGTGGTAAAAATTTAGAGATTGAAAAGTAAAATGTAATAAGATGACGAGAATAAACTTGAAAGGGAAAATTCTAGGCTGAAGAGAGGTAGAGGATAGAGTGAAGATACTGCAGTTACAGAATTCTCCACTTGGAGAACAGGTCAAAGACCCTAGTGAAAAACTATATTGAACAAAATCCTTTTTGTGATAGGAAGGAGGGGAGAAAAACAAAACATACCACACACCCCCAAAACAGATCAAAAAAAGAAACCTCTCTTGCATCAACAGCGAGACCTGACTGAGAGATCCAGCCTTTAATTTGAAACTTTAATTGACAAAAGTAATTTTTATGGAGCTGGAAATAAAATCGAATTTACTATATAGATTTTCATTAAATGAATGCTCATTAACATGAACTATGGAGACACTTCATCGACTTCTCTTCACTGAGATCCTTTGTCTTCTGTGATAGAAATATTTTTACCATTTTGACCTGGTAATGTGAAAGGTAATATTCTTAAAATTGTTATTTTTGTTTTGCATGATCTGTTTAAAGGGTTATTTGCTCATAATCTGCATACCAATTTTGCTAGTGTTTTCTTAAAACAGTTGTTCAGAATCTGCTGATAATTGGAAAATATGATTTAAAAATTAAATGTGAGATTCCTTTTAAGCTATGGAATCTTTCCCCTTCCTAACATACAGAGGTCATATATCAGATTAGAAGTATTTTGTAGACTGCAATGCATGTGAAATGCAGGAACAAATAATAAGAATTCCACTGTGTTTAGGGTGATATTAAGTGAAAAGTATTTCTAGTTTTAGTATGCAAAGTTGTGTAAACATAAAGCAATGATTTCTTGAAGCTTAGATTAAGATTTCAACTAATCCATACGTCTGCTAGAAAAAAGTTACTCTCCATTTTAGCTCAATAGCTTTAGTGCTCGTATCTTTTGATCGACAAATACCCATAAGAAGACTGAAACTTTCTAACTCTACTCAGTACTCTAAATCCTTTTGTGGAGATGATATCCACTATCTCAGTCATGCTTCTGAGCATGAATGCTTATCTTAACTCTGTGAAGCTGTTGGACTTTGTCTAAAAGATACGGCTGCTTTTGTAGTTCCTTGCTAAACAAAGTGTATCAGATGCTGCCTTGCAAATATTACTTTATATACATGCACTTGTTAATAATGAGACTATTTAAAGCTTAGTGGCATTCAGTCAAAATTGAAAAGGATTTGTAAAGAGATAATATTGTCTGAGAAACAAAATGGTGTGAAATTTAAATGTCTGTTTCCTTGATGTTTGCTTTGTTCCTTCATGTTTGCTATGTTCCATTGTTTCACTATGTTTAATACAAACACTTCACAATCAAATTAAGTTTATGTAGAAAACAGGAAGAAGAATTAAAAATGTGTGTGTGTGTGGCTTTCCACAGAAATCTTATGCTGTTTCTGAAGCTGTAGTTACTAAATTTTGTTGTGACCACAAGTGTTGCTAGTAAAATTTCCCTGGAAGATACTGCAGGTTTTGGTCTTAGCACTTGACAAAAACTTGTGTGACCTCTTTATTTTGTTTAATATGAAGTACCTATTCTGCATTTACAGATACTGCTTTGTTAGATTATGTGACGAGGAGATACGGGGATTGTCTCTGTCAAAAGTGTTAAAGAATGATTCCTAGAGAGACATTAAGAAAAGAATAGCAGACTCCAATATTGATTTTTTGAGTTTCTTTAATAGTAATTCATGATGAGTCCAAGTAGCATTAGTATTTCAGAAGATGTGTTTTTACTGTTTTCTGTCTTGCATTACGAATGCATTCCAAATTCCAAAATTTCTTTGTGTATATTGCTGTTGTGGCACGTTTTTTGATACATCAAAACAAGAGTCTCTGGCAGCTACGTGATATCAGTATCATGGAGCAGTGACACTTAGCCTTTAGCCAAGATGTCAACATTATCCACCAAGAGCTGAGTCTGAGAAAGAGATGCCAGGAGGTGGAAAATAACTATAATGTTGTTCAGATTAAGGGAAGAGAGGCAGCTTTATTGGAGTAACATGAACAGATTATTATGCAAACCCAATCTTTAATGGATTCTTTTAATCCCCCTTTTTGGAATCTAGAAATGATGGCCTTAAGTATTAGAGTACAGAGTAGATACACAAATAGGCTTTTATTCCAGTCTCCTAAAAAGTACAGAAGAAACTGAAATAATAGGGGAGCAATGTGATCAGAAATTCTCTGGTTTTTTTCTTTTATTAGCTCAAGCATGATCCTTAGGAGTCTTTCTGCAGTATCCTCTGGATATTTCTGCATTATCTTTGGTGTTCAGTAGATGTTTGTGTAATGTTTATAACATTAAGCTGTCTCAGGTTTGTGGTTGGGGAGTTGATTTCTTATTGAAAAGACTGTCCTTCCGAAGGCCACTCAAAAGTTTCAAATGTGATGTGGTTGATGGGAAATTAAAGAAAGTTTGACGCATCTAAGTTATCAGCATCTGGCTGAAGTTTACTTACTTCCTAAAAGGCAACAATTTTATGTTCTTTGATGCCAAGTACAATTCTGCACTACCTTGACTGAGTTCACTATGGAAAACTGAGTCAATTAAATACACTATCTGCCTAACACTTTGGCTTTTTCACCTTTAAAGATAGAAAGTTTATTAGATTAAATTAATTAAACTTCTGTAATCCTTCTTGGTTTTTCTTGAGTGTATAATGTAAGTATGTATGGTTTCAGAAAGAGCAGGCTAACAGTAAAGTAGATACTCATGCATATATTCCTTTTCTGTCTGAATAGGTCTTTTAATGATCACATCTGATTCAGTGTAAAATGCAGTAGAAGATTAAATGACTGAATTAAAATATTAGAAGGGTAATTTTGGAATAGTGATTATTCTTTCAGTACAGTTGCTTTTTAATTTAACACTGACTTTTTTGCTGAAAATACTTACTAGTTCAATTTGGACCAAAACCAGATGATGAATTATTGTTTAAGAACTGGGTTTACTATCCATTACCATTTTCTCATTCATGACCTAAATTGGTATGAACTGAAACTACTTTGTATAAAACTTCCACTGCAGAGTGAGCCAGTATACGTAGCATTCACCTTTCTTCCCAGTGTAGGAAATAAACATCTACTTTGGTATGTCTTTAATGACTAAAGCACTGTGCTGCAGTGGCAGCAGCTCTGAGGGAACTTTACTCCTCTGTGCACTTAATCTCCTCCAGTTTTTTCTCCCTGTCATGGCTCACCTGTGCTTTGTTAGTCAGGAAAGTTACAATCTTTTTGACTCTTCTTGGCTATGTGTACACATAGTAATAGAAGTATTGTGAAGCTACTTATTTCAGCTCTTCTTACATCTGAGATTCGGGGGTTCATTGAGATTTATGCAGAGAGGTTTTCTGGTACTGTGAATTATGAAAATGTAGAAATGACTCAAAAATCCAGGAGATGAAAAATTAAGCAAAATAATAGCAATTTTTCTTTGTCTATTCTAGTTCTGATCTGCAAAGGCTCTGTGTTTAAAAACATGGTTTTTTTTTAAAAATAATTGCATGCATACACTTTTTAAAAGTATAAACCAGCAGTCATCTAGGCTGGAAACTTGTATTGGAAAGTAAGGAATGCTGTAGTTTTCATGTAACTGTCTTGGAGTGGTGAACATAAGGAAAAAACACAGTTGGCTTGCTCTGAAGAGTGAGAGTTGACAACATTGATGGCTATGAATGCTCATATAATGCTGGGTTATAAACAAAGCCTAACTAGTGTAATTGTTGCGTTATGTTTCTGAAGGCTCAGCTGTCCCTGTTGGATTTCTGCATGTGTTATCATAGCACCATTAAAGCACACTGACACCAAAATTGTGGTAAGGACTTGACACCACAAGCATGTCATAGTGCTTCTTGGTCTATTCAGTTACACTGTGTAGACAGTGCTGCTTATAAGTGTTCTCTGTTGTATGTGCAAGCCTTTGTGAAGGAAAGAGAAGATATGCAAAAAAAATTCTTATTTTGGAAAAAAATGTTAAGTGCTGCATATTAATATGTTATGGGGAGTATTTTGAACTTGGAGGACATAGCTGGTTTGCATCATAATTGATATGGATCAAACATCTGAGTATTATGCTGATAAACATAGTTTTTCTAAATACCTTGTTCAGTGCTAAGTATGATAATGCTGTAAAATTATTAGAGTTAATAACTTCAGTATTTTGTATGTTTATAGCTTTGTCGTCTTCTGTTTTTCCCAGTTTTTATGTTTCAGTAACTAGATTAGGTAGGTTGTGTTTGTACTGGCTTCAAGCTGCTGTTTTATTTGATTATGAGTGGTAGTAACATTGTAATTATACATAGTTTTATAAATCTGTTTATCAATGGACCTTTCTGTGGTAGGATCTTTCAGCCTTAGAAAAATTGGTTCAGGACTTTTGGTTGGCATTCTGTCATCCGCAAGTACTTTAAAGTCATCTCATAAAAATAAAATATCATCAAGTCTTGATGGACTCTTCAGACTTTTTTCTTTCAAATGAAACTTTTCAGAATATTAATGAAGAATGCATTAAGAGATCAGAACAAGAGATATTGAACTAAATCTTGAATTTTTTTCATGTAATAAATACTCTTAAAGAAGTGTTACACTAGAATTTACCTAATGTTTATGGGGGAAAAAAAAGTGAACTGGCAAAACTGTAAATGTGAGATGCTTTATCGGAACATACTGAGAACAAACTGCCTTTGCTGTTCTTTCTTAGGTCTAGTGTTGGTCCTTCTAGTGAGGGAGCTGGGTAATCCTGTGAAACGTGATACATTCTGTCAGTGGAGTTAACAGTGTGCAGGCAACAGTCTTAGCTGAGTTCTAGTATTTGCATCTATCTAGTACAGTCTTTACAGCATTCTGTTTATTTATTAGCGTTAAATGCCTAGAAAACCTAATTAAGTTAGTAAGAACAGTGTGATGTCTGGTACTATGTATATTTTTATTTTGTGTGTCTGTCTTTGGGCTTTTCAAATGATAGTGATTTGTGTTTTCTGGAGTAAAATGTCAGCATTGCACGTATGTAGACCAGCTTCATTTGAGGCAAATGTATGTGCAATATGGATTTATGGTGGAAATATGATGTCCATTTCCTTTGTTAGGAAATCAGCTCTATTTGGGCTGGTTCAATCTGAGTCATATTTGACTACCTGTGGTCCTAAAGGGCTATCTTTACATTTGGTCTGATGCCCTGGAAATGTTACTGGTTTTGAGAACCTGAGGCGTTGTACTTCTGCAACCATTTCAGAGACTGTATGAGGAGCCCTTCATTATGAAGAGCCCTTCATTAGGCTGTTAAGTCAACATGACTGCCATGCCTTCATCTGCCAAAGCATCAAAGAAAATTTTTGACTGTGATACAGACATCTTTTGGTTTTAAAAGGAACATCCAATCTAATTGGATTATATTTAGATTACATTAATTTTTCTGTAAGACTTCTGTTCAGATGTTCTTTGAAACAGTGATTTACAGACCACATAAGTGCTATCACTTTCTTGGGGGACAGACTTGTTATTTGGCACCAGTTATGTTAAAATAGACAACCTTAGAGGTGGAAGTTAGTGGAAAGTGAATGTTATCTTCTTCAAAAAGAAGTAATGGGGCACTATTGTGGTTGTGGGGTTTTGGCCTCTCTTTGTTCCCTTAACGTCTGAATTTACAAGCTTGTGTTTTAAGAAGTAACACTGCTAGATACAGGGTAGATACCTTAAAGTACATCTGCTCAATGTATCCAGCAAAATTTTCAGGCTGGGTTCGCAAAGATTCGGCACCCACGTTTGTTTTCAGTAGCTAGTGTGACTTTATTCTTAGAGGTACTCGGTAGTCTGTAACTTGCTTGCTTTGATTTCTGAATGCTAATTTTAGATGTATGGGATTTGGGGCATAAGTTAATATTCCTCACTTTATAATACCAACTATAATTAATTTCAGTCATGAGTCATCTTATAGCAGGAATAAAATGGGATATATTTTCTTGATTAAGTGTCATTAATATGCCTGAAATTCTTACATCTACCATTTTTAGTCATATTAGTCTAGACAGCGCACTATGTAACTTAATGTTCTCATTGCCTTAAATTTAGATGGAAGAAGGAAGCAAAAATGTACGCTTGGGATCACTAATTGCTCTGCTGGTAGAGGAAGGACAGGACTGGAAGCAAGTTGAAATACCAGCTGATGGTATTGATCCATCTTCTCTGGCATCACCAGCACCTGCGCTTACTTCAACTCATGCAGGTCCTTCAGTTTCAGCCCCTCGTAAACTGGAACATCAACCCAGAAAATTGCAGTAAGTTTCTCTGTTTGTTATGAAATGGAACTCTTATTTAGTTAGATCAGTAGAGCTGAACCAAGAAGAATCTTTTGTCCCTTTTTACCTGGTATTAAGCCGTTAGTTTAAGGGAGTGTTTCAGTATGTGTTAGGTAATAAAGCTTGCCTGCCTGGAATATTTCTTTGCTTGTAAACCCAATAAGTCAATTCAAACAATATAGTTTTATTAGAACACTTTCTATGGATGTGCTTTTATTCTGACATACAATTTTTTTATGAAGGATTCCAGGGTTAGATTAGAAGTTGTGTTTGTATACAATAGACACTAATACTTATGCATCAGATGCTCAGTTTACCTATAACTTGTTTTCTATTCCTTTTTTAGGAGAAAAAATAAACAAACAAGTGGCATACTCCAAAACCCTTCCAAGCTCTTGCAATTTTGATATTAGAAAAAATTTCTTCTTGTTTTCATAACAGTGGAATGCAAAATACTCAAAACTGTGGATTTATGTGCTTTTTGTTGGTTTTGTTTTGATCTGTTAGGGTACTCTAAGCATTACAAACATCTTAGGGGGGAGTAAATTAACACCAAAATGTTAGTCAGGTAACAGTAATCTATAAATCACTGTTTTGTGTCGCAGGATGTACCCTGTTTGGAGGTATAATCCTTATTTGGAGTGAATTACAATAACAAAAGCTGTAAAATTACAGCCTATTAGAGAAAAGAATAGGAAACTAATCTTGGTAGCTTGTGCTAGCAGACTGTTTGGGTTTGGTTGTTTTCTGGTTTTTGGAGGTTTTTTAAACCTCATTACTTTTTCTATCTGGTTTGCTATATTTTCTTTTATTGTCAGCATTTAGGCTTTTCTCATGCAAGTGGAAGACAACTGATTGAAGTCATTGCTGAAATGTTACCAGTAGTAGTAGGATGATCCAAGGAAAGGATCCTTGGAAAGGATTAAGTGTTGCATTTTAGTACCAAAGAACATCAGAAGTGTGTCTGTTTCACTGCAACTGTTAATTAGAGATGTATCAGCATCTTTGGAATCAAGTGATCATTTATGACATGTTTTTTCTGGCAAGGGCTTACAGACAGTTCTTAAAACTCAATGTGGTGCAAATATAGTCTCCTTTAGGAAATAATGAATTGGAGATTTTGTGGAAAGACTTGAAACCAAGTATTTATTCTTTTGTGAAAATGTTGCTGCTTTTGTATCTAAGAATTTTGAAATCTGTTCTTTACATGTTTTTTTTCCTCATTTCAGAAAGGAAATCATGCTAAGCTTCCCTAGGTGCTCTGTAGCTATGCACTGTGCTTTGTAATTGATCACTGTTTCTGTTTCAGGCAGAAATGTTACTATTGAGCATACCCCATCTAGGTCAAGGTGACAGGTACAGGTTTACTAGTATTATAGTATATCTTAGGTGTATGCTGATTAAAATGTTCAAGTATGGGGGGGCTTAATATTTAGTCTTCTAAAGCAGATACAGATGTGGTTGCATAATTCAGTATAGCTTTTGCTTTTCGAAAAAGTAGCCATTTCGTTAAGTCAGTCCTATAAAATAAAGTTGAAAGGTAATGTTATAATTAGCATTAAGCTGCATTAATGATGCAATTACAGCTAGCCAAACAAATAATGGAGATGAGCAACCCTCTTGTCTGAGCTCCTAAAACTCATTTTTTAATGTTAGAATAATAAGCTGGTCTTAAAAAATGTGTTTGGTTCTTCACTGATGACCCTTTTCTAGAAGACTCCACAAGTATATTACATTGCTGCTGTAAGAGGAAAATTTGGAGATGAGTTTTCCACTCTTTATTTTGCTCTCTTTAAGGTCATTATTGTGTTTTTAGATTCAACCTTGCAATAAAGCTTGCTGAAAGGTCACAGTCTGACTTCTGTGTTACGATCACAGCCTTTGTACAGAATTCTTGTTTTCTTCCCCAGCTGTTGCTTCTGAAATAGAGCATATATTGTATAGTTTCTCTTGATATACATTGAATGAAATAAGTTAATCTTACTGTTTAAATATTTTATTTTACCCCTCATTTCTTTAGGGTTCGCTTAAGTCCTGCAGCTCGCAACATTCTGGAGACACATGGACTAGATCCAAGCAATATTACACCTTCTGGGCCTCGAGGAATCTTCACTAAAGAGTATGTAGATACTTCAGTAAAGCTACAACCTCATATTCCTTTATTTCTTCCTTTGAACCTACAGCAATTTCCATGACCTTAAAAAGTCCTTTTATTTAAAAAGTCAGCTTTTTGTTCCAGTTTTTTCTATAGGGCATGGCTTAGTTAAAGTCAAAATACCTGTTGAGAAAATATGGAGAATAGATTAGGAAATATTGTAAGAAGCCTTTAATTAAAAAAAAAAAAAAAAGAAAAATCTCTTTGTTGTTATATCCCCATCTGCTGCTTGGTACTGCTGTCACATTTTCTGCAGCTCAGCCTAATGGTAGCTATCAACTCCTGGGCACCACTGTTAGCTACCATTGTGGATCTCAATAATTTTGCTATTCAGAGATGTATTCAGAGCCAAAATAAAATACCAGTGGCCTGTTTTCTTCAGCTTCTTTTCTTTGTGGAGTTCAGGTCTTTTGCTTCTTTAACTGAAGTTCAGTTATGAAGTCTGTCAGGGTTTAATTTGTTCCCTTTTTTATTAGGCTGGGGAGAGCAATGAAGTGTAATGGTAAGAAATCCAGAACTCTGTTTTTTTCCCCATCTTTGATTTAAAGAATATTTGTTTAAAAACCTGGTGTTTGTCATAATCAGGCTTCTAGTAGTTTACTATGCTTTTTGAGTATTCTTATGCAATGATTGGCACTCAAGCCTTGGAGTGAGGAACTCGTGTAATAAAAACATGTTGTGGTAGATCCAGAGCCCTTAGCCTCAAAATGGTGCATTATCTTTGCATTAGTGTGCATGTTATTGGAGATGGGGATTTTGGCTGGAATACTTATTTTTGTTCTCAGTAAAATTATTCCTATTGACAATTGCCATCATTCACCTACACAGACCTTGTTAGCTGCTGTAATTTTAGTTCCATTCAAAGACAACCAGGCCAGCATAAATTGGAATTGAACCCAGAGAAGCAGGCAGTGGAAGTCTGCTGTTTTTTCAGAACTCTTTTTCCTATGGTCTTTGGCTGAGTTGAGATAAAATAAGGAGTTGAATAGATATAATATCTGATCTAACAGCAAATTATCAGAGATCTTTTTTTTCTTAATTATGTAAGTGCAGTGGTAATTTATGGTGTATTACTAGGCTATGACATGTGCAAACCTTCTAGGACTTTGAGCTACCTAATTAACTTTCCCTAGTTGTCATGGAGATGTAGCAAAGATTTTTCTGTAGCTATGAGAATTATCTAACAGTATCTTTTTTTCAAAACTGCTTTCTTCCATAGAGATTTGACTGTGAAACGTCATTTTAAGATACAGACTGAGGGGTTTTTAACCATTCTTTTGAAATGGTGTTAATCTTTCAGATGCCTACAGGCTCTGCTATATGTTCAGTTTGAAATGAAATGTTTACAGATTTTTGTAAGACAGCAGCTACAGATATTCAGGGAAATATTTATTTTGCTAACTTGCCATTACTGTTAAAGTACATGCCATGCTTTATAGCTGTGTGACTTGTGGTCTCTTTTCCAAGTAAACTAGCAATTGATTCTTTGAGGAAGTGTTCGAGTTCACTTTTCACTTTTAAACTCTGAGTTTCCAGGGCTCACACTCACCAGATTAAAAGAAACAAAAAAAGACAGTGAGTTATGTAAGCAAGCAAGATTCTTCCCCCCTGCAACTTTCTATCTTTAAATTTAATTCACTGTAAAACTTTTAACAGCAATAGGAGCTTTCATGTAATAGCTTTCTCTGTCATAATCTACTCTCTTAGTAGGCTGATACTTCATTTCTCTTATGTATCTGTGAAAGGCTGAGTTAGCGTTGTCTTCTTCCTGCTTGTTTTTGGTTTATGGAGTGACAGCTTTTTTTATTATTATTATTTTTAAGCAATATCCTCTGCTTTCTTCAGAAATGTACTAGAAAATTGACATGTCAGTACAAAGTAACTCACAACTTCCATCAAAGATTGCACCATCTTCTTAGTCATCAGCTCAGACACTGTGTTTGGGAGAGCTAAGTTAAAATCGTTGATTGTTTCAGACTACTTCTGCCCTTTCTCCTCCTATTTATTAGTGATCTAGGGATTTATAAAAAGGTGGGGGGGGTATCAATAATAAATATGTTTTTCTGAGGCCATATTCCTCCTATCTGTAACTTCGTATCAGCTGTCACTAAGTGTGATTTGGGATCTCAGAGCTGCTCAGGCATTTGCATTTTCAGTTTGCAAATAAGGCACAGCACATACATGTCATGCTGGTTTTCCAGAGAGTCATTACATGTGTATGTATTGACTGCAGACTTACAGTGGGATGTATGCTGCATGCAATTTGTCAGCTGCCATTATGACTTCTACGCTGTTGATAGTGCAGTAAGTCTGATACCTAGAAGTATCTGATGTGTAACGTTCTCTGATCACCTTTTTCCTTTCCAGGAAATCTTCTGTGAAATATCATAGAATGCTTTGGTTGGAAGGGACCTTAAAGATCTTCTAGTTTCACCCCCCCTGCCATGGGCAGGGACACCCTCCACTAGGCCAGGTTGCTCAAAGCCCCATCCAGCCTAGCCTTGAATGCTTCCAGGGATGGGGCCTCCACAACCTCTCTGGGCAACCTGTTCCAGTGTCTCACCACCCTCATTGTAAAGAATTTCTTACGTATATCTAATCTAAATCTCTCCTCCTTCAGTTTAAAGCCATTACCACTTTTCCTGTCACTACATGCCCTTGTGAAAAGTCCCCCAGCTTTCTTGCAGGCCCCCTTTAGGTAACTGAGCAATTGGATGTTCAGATGAAAGGGCATTGGGACACCAGAGGAAGCTTATGTCAGCCTGCGCATCTCCTGTTGCACCATTGAATCCTTAGTGATTTTTAGGTGTATAACCTTTAACTTGTCCATTTCAAATAAAGTATATTTTGAGCACAAAACACTCAGTTTACTTTCGCTATTCTTTGGATTTTGGCTAACATGAAGTGGAAAGACTACACACTGTCGTGGTTTAACCCCAGCTCACAGCTAAGCACCACACAGCTGCTCACTCACCACCACCCCCAGCGGGATTGTGGGAGAGAATCAGAAGAATAAAAGTGAGAAAACCTCTGGGTTGAGTTAGAGAGTTCAATACGTAAAGCAAAAGCCATACATGCAAGCAAAGCAAGACAAGGAATTCATTCACTACTTCCTATTGGCAGGCAGATGTTCAACCATCTCCAGGAGAGCAGGGCTCCGTCACATGTAATGGTTACGTGGGAAGACAAACACCATCACTCCAAATGTGTCCCTCTCTTCTTTCCTCTTCCCATAGCCCCTTATATGTTGAGCATGATGTGATATGATGTGGAATATCTGTTTGATCAGTTGGGGTCAGCTGATCCAGCTGTGTCCCCTCTCAATTTCTTCTACACCCAAGTGTACCCAGGTCCTTGAGCAATCCAGCAGATTGATTTGCTTTTGCCTGAAGCAGGGCTAACTGAGGAACTTTATCCCCTTCTACAGTACATGGAAGTTTTGACTGGGCAGGGCCAGCTCGATTGGTAGATCCCCTAGTGTTAACTAACCAGGTGGCCTTTGCTAACTGTGTATCCCAGTGTTTGATGGTCCCGCCACCCGGTGCTCTCAGTGTAGTCTTTAGCAGTCCATTGTAGCGTTTGCTTTTCCCGGAGGCTGGTGCATGACAGGGGATGTGATACACCCACTCAGTGCCATGCTCTTTGTCCCAGGTGTCTATGAGGTTGTTTCGGAAATGAGCCCCATTGTCAGACTCAGTTCTTTCTGGGGTGCCATGTCACCACCAGACTCGCTTTTCAAGGCCCAGGATACTGTTCTGGGTAGTGGCATGGGGCACAGGATACGTTTCCAGCCATCCAGCGGTTGCTTCCTCCATTGTGAGGACATAGTGCTTGCCTTGGTGGGTTTGTGGGAGTGTGATATAATCTATACTTCAGCCATTGTCCTCCCTACAACAGAGGCTTTAGCCGCTTGGCAGTTAAAGAGCCAGTTGCTCTACTTCAATTGCTGTAACCACCCCCACAGGACACTGGCCACCATTCATGAATCAGTATAGAGATGGAGCACCAGCCACTTTTCTCGATCAGCAATATGTAAAGCCAGCAGGATGGCTTTCACCTCTGCAAACCGGCTTGATTCACCTTCTCCTTCAGCAGTTTCAGCGACTTCACGCAGCAGCCTTCCACCTCCAATGCTTTCCCACAATGCAACAAGACCCATCAGTGAACAGGGCATACGGCTTCTCATTTTCTGGCAGTTTATTGTATGGTGGGACTTCTTCAGCAAGCGTCACCTCCTCCCCTGGTGACGTTCCAAAGTCTTTGCCTTCTGGCCAGTCCATGATCACTTCAGAATTCCTGGGCGATCAGGGTTTCCTATTGGAGCCCGTGGTGTGATCACAGGCGACTCACTCGCTCCACCTAGCATCAGTTGCGTGATATGTAGAGGGGACCCTCCCTTTGAACATCCAGCCCAGCACCAGCAGTCGGGGTGCCAGGAGGCATGCTTCAGTACCAATCACTTCCTAAGTGGCTCGA